ATAACGCGAGTACTGCCGCCCAGCCTTCAAATATAAACGGGTAGCTTACATAACATAAGAATACAATAACTGGGAAAAAAAAAAAAAACAACACTACGACAACAACAAAAAACAACAGTATTTGTGATTCTAATTGTCGACTAAATCATGAGGTATCACTATAAGAATCTGTTACTACAATTTTTATTCGTGCAAAAGTGATGCAAAAATACTTTTATAAATAAGCTTTGAATTACTGTCCAGATTCTTAAAAAAAATTATTTCAAGATAAATTTCTCGTTTAAGTAAACTTTCAAACGATAAAAAAAAATCATCACTGACAATTGCCTGAGTGTCTGCCTTCTCGGTAGTTATTCTTGCCGCGAGCCTTTGACTTATTTGCCAATCAATATTAGTTCGTAAAACTCGAATTAGACTTTATATTTATTTATATTGGTGGCTTCAAACTGATGTATGTGGATATTTATTTATAAAGAACGAGAGCAAACAATACCGAGTTGTATGGAGAGGAATTAGTACRCAAAGAAGGGAATACTTTGTTACGAAAAACTTGCTAATCCATAAAGAAATAAAATTAAACCATTTTTTCCCTTCTTATTTTTAATAGGTTTTTTTCTTCAAATAAATGCTGTAATAATATTAAATTCTTAGAAATAAGCTTCATTGAAAATGCGGAGAAAAAGAAGAAATTCATCCATAGGCAAAGAAAAAAATATGAATATTTCTCGTGGTAGAAGTGACGCAACTAAAAAGTCAACATCCAAACTGAAAAAAAACAAATTTTTCTTAATTGATTTTTTAATAAATTTGTCTTTGCGGTTGTCTCATCCTTTTTTCAAAGCCTCCTTACAAGAAGATTGATCAATAGAGGAAGGATAAAAGAAATAAAAGCAAAAAGTCTGATTTCTCTAAAAAAGTCATTATCATTTTTTATTTCATCAATTTTTTACTTAGTTCACGAGTATACCGCTTATAAATTTTACTTTAAAGTTTTTACAAAAGAAATTTGAGGTTTGCAAATGAAAATCGTGAAGTTATATATAGGAAAAGATAGGATGAAGTCGAAAAATAAACGAAAGAACTAAACAAACAAGTAAACATTATAAAAAAGGATATTGGTTTAAGAGATGATTGGATGACGTGCAAATGTATTAAAAATATATATTGCACCTTAATTTATTGGGAAAGTGCTTGAAAAGATGAGGAAAATTGTTAAATGCAAGTGCGGGTTCAGTCGTAAAAGCTCTGCGGCTTTGCTCGTTTGCCATTGCTTCAGCACTACCCAGTTATCAGGGATCAGGGTTTTTGTGAATTAAGTGCTTTTGTGGGTTACTTTTCATTTGTTTTCACGGACGTCTGTGGAATTCCAGAGAGTTTGTGTTGAATCGATTACGAAATGTTCGTGTTCTTATGCACATTTTCATAAAACGCGACCAACAGGGAAAAAAAGCATTTAAAAAACTAACTGTACAGGTGGCACAAATCATGAAATAGGTGTAGTAATGATGCAGTTGGTAATTCTGAAGAATTGACACTGAGCTGCTGACCAGACTAACCTTCGAATGAGTCTGTGGTCAAGAAACACAGCGGTATCTGTAACGAGAGTTCGTTGCGGTCACTCACACAGGGCGGAGCCGAGTTTAGAAAAAAAGTAATTTGCCAAACGTTCCCCTATTGATATATTATAAAAAAAGGGGGGGGGGGGGGGAGATTGGTGAAGGTTTTGTTGTATGTTGCATAACAAGCCCGAGATGTATCATATTCATATGTAAATGATGTCAGTACAGAATATACCGGAAAAACTTGCAACAAAGCTGGACGACATTTTGTAAAAGGTAGTCCTTGGTAAGAACACAATTTTTTTCGTCATTTTGTCTAACGCTTTTATTTTAGTTGGGCTTCCTGTTCTGATATTCACTAGTCATCATTATAAAAGTCATCTTCAGCATCAAACGACCAATCAAACAAGTACAGAATTTGCTTTTACAAACTAAATAATCCTTACCTACACAGATCATAAAAGACGTAACATTCCTAAACAACTCAATATTGATATCTTTATTGCAAATGATTTTCAAATATAAATTCATTCCTAACTGATAAAGTCTAAAATTATCTCCGATGCAAGCTGGACACGAAAATGCATAATTTAAAAAAATTTCTTTAGCATCGCATCCAAGATCATTTTCAATTTTTCGAATTCAAATTCAGTAGCTGTTGTCCAAAATCGTTTCCCTTCCGTGTTTGTATATAATCGCATGATGAATAAATTCATGGCAGTTTATATAGCTGACAGATGCAAAATTGAAAGCCGTAAATGTGGAAAAACCATTATGAGATGTTCTCATTATATTAAATGCTCCATTCCATAGATCTTTGCGGGTCATTAATAGATTTTGGTGGATATTGTTAGCTGAGCTGATGCAATGTACAACCAAGTGCGTTCTTTATTATCTGTAAGGGATGATCCTCGAAGGGTATGGGGGTCGAAAATATATTCTGTATGATCCTTTTAAGGGTTCTGACTCAAACGTCAGTTATTTAACGATGCTCGGCACCTTTTAGAGTCAATTGTTATTTATCTTTTTTTTTTATTGACGACTCTTAAAACTCCAGTGTATGAGGGCTTAACATCCATCTTGTCCCAAAATATTACTCCCCCTTGAAATCCATTCCTCTCTAGATCTCTCCCCTCCTCTTCGAGCTTAAAGGGATTAATTACGGAGAAAAATCGATAAGCTCATATATATTTTATTTATTACTTATGGGGATAGATTGTGATAATTGATGCGAATATTTAGAGTATCGTCTTGTTTCTATATTCAATTAACTGGTTTCAATTTCAGTTATTTTGCCCTTTGGTCGTGTTTGTAAAACTATCAGCCTTTAACCATTCAATGGTAAAAGTTATGTACCTGAAGCGTTCCCGCTTTCCTCAGCATTGTCTTTGATAAATTTTCGACTAATGAGTCAAGAGAATTAGACTCCTAGCAACACCTGTCGGCGTATCAACACTTGAGTCTTATTGGCTCAATCGAAAGGTATCAATCAAATTGGTCTATGAGTGACAAACAGGACCTATACTTCGTCCATTAAAGACCTCATACCTGTGTTTTAGCCACACGGCTATAAAACCGTCTCTAACCAGCCAAAGGGCTTGTGACAAATCTAATCCATAGATCGAAATGGATAAACACACACGAAGATAACGCATTGAAAACCTTCAAAATTATGGCCTGCGCGGTGAAACTCTGCCGTACTCCTGCTAGCGAGGTAAACACATTTAAACAGAAAACCTTCTATCTTTTTTCTTGTTTTTCTGCCTCAATTAATTTACTCAGAGCCAGAATACCAGAAAAAGAAATACAGTATATTTTAGTTCAGGTTCACTCTTGGCCGACGAAGAATAGTTAAGATCGACGGCTGTTAAGTGGTTCTTAAACGCACTCTCTTTTTATATGGTGTGCTGTTGCTAGTAATAACACTGAAAAAGCATGAATACTAGTTGAATTTGTCTGTCTGGCAGTTCATTTTCTTTATACGCTTATATTGAAACACTATGGGTTCCTAAGTACTTAAATAACGATAATAATCGGCTTGCTATCCTCTCCATACATAAACCATGTATCTCACTATTAAATCCGCTATCACAAATCTATTGAATGGATTAGCACAGGCTACGAGATAACATCAGGATGTAAAAATACTCCACTACGAAAGCTTTGTCCTTTTTTCCCCGCGAAGGTTGTCGCGCCTGCCACATTGTTACCCCTTTCACACTTCATCTTTTTGTTTAATTTCGACTCAAACTAGCTTCTTGGCTATTTTTATCTCGACTTGAATATATTTACTCTAGCTTGTTCTTTGTTTTATCATCTATACATCGAGGGCAGGAATAGATACGATTTTTATTTTATCCTAATAAAATCATCTTAGCCGAAAAACAACAAAATTAACCTGGAAACGATAAAGAATACAGCCGGAATTTTTCTATATTGCCAACTCCTATTCAGAATGAAGAGAAGATAACTTCCCTAGGAACCCAGAATACTAGAAAAAAATTTATCGCTTGTGGTTCCGATTTTTTTACATAAATAGAAACCTAATTTCACTTTCAATGCTCAATGAATCTTGAACTACATAAACTACATAAATACAAAGATAGGGTACGGTTGGTAAGAAGGCCGAAACTAGAAAACTCAGTTTTTTAATATCGAATCAGTATAATATTACAACAGGAATTGTTCGCTAGTCATTGGGATCTCTACCAACTGATTATTTATTCCACTAGTCTTTCATTAACGAGATACCTCCAACCATTTCAGCAATAAGTTATGCAAGTATAGAGCTGCATGTATAATTAATGGTAGTGTTGTCTATAAATATCGTATGTACATACAGATTTAGGATATCGATAACTGGTAGCTGTTGATAATTTGTAGTTATAATGCATTATTGTTTTTTTGTTAGACATAAAAGAATTTTTGTACACATTTTGTAAGTTGGAAGCCCGTGAAAATGATTCGATGTAGGGAATAAGAGATAATAGGAGAGAAAAAAAGAAAGAAAAGAAAGAAAAAAAGAAAAGAAAAGAAAAGAAAAGAAAAGAAAA